ATTCCTCACAAAAGAGCTATCTCAGTTACAACTTGTATTCCACCTCTACCAATGGCTAGGTGTACGGCAATATCTAAAATCATATTGGTAAATGATGCAATGGGCATCCCACTGCTGTAGGATTGCAATACTCATTACCCACAGCTATCATACAGCCTAATACTGGTAGTGCTAGAACTGCTGGAAGCTATCAGCTGGAGAAAACTGATTTACTTTGATTAGCAACAACATACTTGGTCTAAAGCAGGTGATTTTCACAGCACCCGTTTTCAGGAGATCCTAAAAATAAAACCTGGGATTTTCTGCATGCAAAATAGATTGTGCTATGGTATCACCAGTAATTGGCTTGGTACCAATTTGGGTCTTTCAGAAGGATTGACACATTGAATTTGGACTGACTCACTAATGCTTAGCTGTGTGTATCTTGTGATTAGACAAGAACACACTTTCCTATGTGAATTCACAATAAGGAAGGCAGAGGATCAAAATGAGACATTTAATTAAATCTGGGTTGCAGTGAGGAATATTAGTGGGAAAACAATGTACCATACTTCTGCATGAAATAAAACAAGTGTTGAAAAACCCAGTTCTGCCAGCTAAACATTCCCCAACAATCATTTTTAGATTACACATCTTTCATTTGCTTAATGCAACTTGCTCTAAAATAAATGAATATTTCTTTTACTCTAATACTAATACTACCTTTCTCAATAATGAAATTTCATTCCTACTTTTTGACATACAGTACATATGGGTTTTCTGTAAAATTGTGCTCCTTTTTATAATATATACTGTGCAATGTTTGGATTTGATTTCCAAAAGATTTCCCAGAATGCAATCACACTCTTTCAAGAAAAGACACACTTGTCTTAAAATGTTGCTGATCGATGCTCTATTTGCACTCCTGAAAATCTGAAATAACTTTTGGGGATCAAATTTGAAGTGCTGTACAATCTTAATAAACAAGAAGATGGTTCACACACCCTGGTTAAAGCTAACCATATACTAGATAATACTATTATCTATATTAGTAATTAATATAAATTAATTACGACTTAACTACTACTAAATAATGTATTTATGCTAGCTACTTCACACATATTGCTTACCCATGGTTTAACCATGTTTTATTGAATAAACCATAGTTTGTTTCATCATGTAATGTATTAAGACATAAAGAGTTTAGAAACAAAATAGGTATACCAAAATCAATCATAGTTTCACACTATGTATGGCTTGCCTGTTTTTGACTTTGCACAATGGGTGGACTCTGTTCTTGAAAATTAGAAGTGGTCTTAGAAAATTCTATTTACTCTTAAAACAATCTTTTTCCCACAGTGAATATATTTTCCCACATTCCTTCTGGCTGGTCAGAAGTGATGTACAGGAGTTTAGTCATAACATAGCACTACAGCAGTGTTTCTCAACCTTGACAATTTTAAGACATATGGACTTCAACTCCCAGAATTCCACAGCCAGCATTGCTGGCTGTGGAATTCTGGGAGTTGAAGTCCACATGCCTTAAAATTGTCAAGGTTGAGAAACACTGCACTACAGGATTAATAAGAAAAGCATATGGAAAGATTATTTGCCTCTAAAAGAAATGAAGTAACCATAGAATCATAGGGCTAGAAGGGACCTTGGTGGTCTTCTAGTCCAACACACTGCTCAAGACAGGAGATCCTATACCATCCCAGTCAAATGGCTGCCCAGTCTATTCTTGAAAATCTCCAATAATGGAACACTTACAATCCCAGGAGGCATAACTATTCCACTGAATTATTGCTCTCACTGTCAGAAAATTTCTCCTTACTTCTAGATTGTATCTCTCTTTGACAAGCTTCCACCTATTACTTCTTGTCCTGCTTTCTGTGTCCTAGAGAATAAGAAAATAACCGTTTGAGTTATGGGCTACTTCTAAAGACCCGACAGAATGGATGTGCCCCAGTTTCTTCCTTGAGACAATGTCATCTGAAGGGATTTAGGAGGGTCTCTTTTCTGCTGTGGTACCTGCCCTATGGAACAATCTCTTCCACCGTCTGTTCAAGATTTGATTGTCCCCAATTCTGTTTGTCTTCTTTGAAGACTGGCCGCTTCCTCAGTTGTTGAAATGTTAGACAAGTCTGTCTTAGGTGGTGAAATACATGTTGGTGTGCTCCAACTGTGAATTTGTTGTCTTTATTGATTTTCAGTTCTTCTGTTCAGGGGACACTAATCTCATTTTTATTATTGTATGCTGTATACCAGGAGTCACATTTTTTGCAAGTGGGATACCTCTCTGATTTCTTTAACAAATGTATTCCTTAATCTTAATAGATTAAGAATGTAACAGCTAAAGCAAATCACACTCTGTCAAGATACCAGGTTTTACCTACTATAGTTGCTACTCTTAAAAATAAACAAAAGTAGGTCCTCGACCATTTTCAGAAGGAATTGAAACAATAATCCTTGCAGTGCAAGTTGCAAGATAAAGCAAGAATGCACTCACTTGATTAGCCTAAACCACAGAGCAGTTAATTCTAACAGAATCCCAGAAGAATTGCATTTTGCCGAGCTTTGGTGTTTTGGGATTAAGGGAACTACAGTACAATCATGATGAACAGTTTCATTTTACAGTGTAGTTGTTTATTTGAGTCATGCCGAAAGGCAAGCAAACTCTCTCTTGAGTTAAACGTGACTCCCGATGACTTCATGGATATCTTCATGCAGCTTCTTAGCAACAATTTGGAACTAGTTTGCCATTGCCTTTTTCTGGATTTATTTTTTTTTTAACTTCCTACTCTAACCTATAGCTTTGGGATTTCCGAGGTAATCTGCCATCTAAGTACTACGCAGATCTGGCTCAGTTTAGATGCCAGAGGCTAGAGGAGATGCAAAACACCAAAACAGCTATCTCTTTCCCAAGAAAAAAGAATCAACTGTTAAAGGAAGCAAGTGAGGAACACATTCTAAAAATTTAGAACGAGCTCCTGCAGCAAAACATTGCACTTCAATCCCACCCTTAAGAGTACCAGTCCTATTTGTTTCCTACTCTTCTGCATAATATAGTGCTAAAAGGTCCTAAATAAATTTAGCATGTATTCATATCAAGAGATTATACTAAATTAGCATCAATATATCATGAATTATAGTGAAATGGTTTTTCGGTAATTTTAGAACACAATATCTTGGTGTCTTAGATAGAAATCTTCATTCCCATATTGAAGTAATCAGTATATCTCTAACTGGCTCCATCCATCCATCCATCCACCTACCTACCCACCCACCCACCCACCCACCCACCCACCTGATTCAGTCATGTCAAGTTCTATTTGGCTTTAACCATGATTTGTTAAAGTAGCAACAACTGGCTAATTATAAATTCATGTTGACTAGTTCACAGTTACCCATCGAAGCACATTAAGAATTAGTGTACTATGAGAGTGTACCAGTCCATTCAATGACACCTTCACTCCTTCATAAGTGCAGGGTTAGAATTTGTAGTCTAACGCTAGCAGCTTTGTTAGTTCGCTTATGTTTCAAGCTTGTTTTGTGTCAACCTCAAGAAATATATATCATCACAAGGGAAAAGTGCTTAAGAAGTGGGACAAGCAAAACACCTAAGTGAAAAATGCATGCACAGGAATCTTTGTCTAGAAGCCGGATAGGCATTGCCCTGTCTTGTAACTTGGGTCATTTGGTTTGTCTGAATGATGTCACTGAGAATCCAAAACTTCATTTATGATTTTGTTTCACAGCAGCATTAAAAAGGACCTCCTTATCATAGGAACTTCATTTAGAAACGTATTATTGATTTTGCCAAAGGAAAAATGGGTGCTCTTTTTGTGTCTTCTTGGGTTAAAAATCTAAAACCGGATAATTTATAATAGGATTGTGAAAACAGATGCTCATATCTCACTGACTTAAAGCAGTCAAAGAATTCCAAGGTAACAGAGATTCCTTCACTTTAGTCATCAGAACAAAGGACACCCTTAGGAGGAAGGTATCCCTGAAAAAGGAAAGGCATTATAGGAATACAGTTGAAACACAACCAACAGAAGTTTAGGGGGGGAAAAACTATCCAAAACGAGTAAACATTCTTTATTAGGTTCATGTCAATATTGTCTTTGAGAAGCAGCTGAAGAAATAGTACAGCTCATGATCATCACTCCCATACAAACAGGCCCTCTTTGAACGGCTTAATTACCATCATTAATTTAGCCAGTTATTCCATTAACCCAATTTTCTGAGTTCACCTGACATACCCACCATTAAGCACAGGGGCTGAATTCACACAACATGCTAGGTGAAAATGTGGTTGAATAGGTTATATCAGTGGTTCTCAACCTTTTCTTCACCACGGACCCCCTTTAAATACTTTTTGTGGCACGGACCATGTCCGCGGACAAGACTTAACTCAAGACTTAAATCATAACATTTCTTCAAGCCTTCACGGATCCCCTGTGATGACATTATGCCCCCCTCCAAGGGTCCGCAGACCACAGGTTGAGAACCACTGGCTTATATTAATCTACTTCTAATATGCCAGAGTAGCCACACGGATGTGGCTGTTGCAATTTCCCATGATGTCACATTCCTGTCCATGTCCACCTCTGTATTAGAAACCTAAAGCCCTGCTCCTGTGCCAAATCTTGTTGCTTCCCTTCCTGCCAGTGGAATCTTCTCAAGCGCAGGCATACATTAAGCTTTGCGCCACCAGAAAAGCCCGGCAAGGAGCAACTCACTCAAGAACTGCATTCAAGAACTGAAGCTACATGATCTCATTACATCTGTCCCCTGCAGCTAATGTGGACTGCAGAGAACTTCATCAGAAGTTGCAAGGTCCACTCCTCCACCCCCCACCCCACATATAAGGGATACAGGTAGGAGGAGGGGCCACCTTTCTTCCTTATCGTGCTGCGGGAAAGAGGCCAAGAGTCCCAGTGACCCATACTGCCCTAGAGGAGGCAAGGTGACTTCCCACCCGGCCTCAGGCCGTGTCCTACCTCCATTACTCTTACCTTGCTCACAATATTCTGCTGTAGGCCTGCAGGGATCCGATGGTACCTCTCACGGCAGTGGCAGTAACTGTCATTCGCTCCCTCAGGAGTGGGCAGTTCCGGGGCTGCCAGGATCCCCCTGCTATAGCTGTCGCTGCTGTGGTTGTAGCCGGGGCTGGTGGTGATGCCCCTGGGAGGCGGCGGGGGGAAGTCGGTCCAGTTGCTCTGCCCATCCGTCCCCTTGCACCAAGAGATGGGCTGGACCAAGAGGAAACTGTCCGAGAACTGGCTGAAGCCGATGAAGAGCGCGGGGATCCAGGTGAGGAGGATGAGGGTCTTCTGGTGCCCGCCGCCCAGGCCCCCCAGGAAGGGCAGCACGGAGCCATCGTAATCCAGAAGCAGGGGGCTGCAGGACCCGGAGGGAGGCGTGGGAAGAGGCAGGCTCTGGATCTCCGCCGAGAGACCCCCTGCAGGGGGTGCGGCCGGAGCTGCAATGGCCGGGTCCGCCTCCCCGGCAGGCAAAGAGCCGTTTTCCTCGGGGAGGGGCCGGCTCCCCCCGGCACCTTCCTCTCGACGCCGGTCAATCGCCATCCGGCAAGAGGAGAAGGCAAGGCAAGCCCAGCGGCTCACATAGAGGGGAGCTGAGGAGGCGGCGCCCGGGGCAAGATCCGCGGTTTCGTCAGCCGGCCGGGCTGATGGAGCGAAGCCTCGCCTGCGGGAGTCTCTGCTAACTCGCGCATAGGTGTGAACAGCTCTCCAGACGCTCCGAGATCCCCGGGAGAGCCGAGGGTCGCCCGCCCACCTCCGCTTCGCCTTGTTCCCAAGCGCGCCTGCCTGCCTGCCTCGGTCGCCACACCCAGCGCTCCCTTTTCCACGTTGCCCTCTTAAAACCTTCCTGCGTCTCCGCCGCCGCCGCCCTCGCTTCTGGCCGGACACGCGGGTGCCGTTTTCCTCCGCCGCGGGCCCGAGCGGCCGCCGGTCTCTGGACCGGGACCGGGATCAACCTGGCGATCGGATCTAAACGATCGCTTTCTGGTCGCGGGGGCTGGGCGGGAAAGAACCCGGCGAGCGGCTCCTGCGGCGGGTCCCTCGCCAGCCCGCGCTACCGCCCATTAAGCTCGCCGGAGGGGGGACGGTGTCGCTTCGCCGAGGGTCGGAGGAGCGAGCGGGCGGGCGGAGCGTCGAAAGGAACCGCATTCGCTGCGCCCAGCCAGAGCGGGATCCCGTCCTCTCGCGGCTGCGGATCGCCTCCTTTCTCGGGTGGGGGTGGGGAGGCTTGGCGGCGTCTTGCCTCCCTCTCTTGTCTCCCGCCGCGGCTCTCCGCCGCTCGGCTCTCAACCTGCAAGCCCGGCCCCCTGACCCGGCTCCCGCCCCCGTCTCCTCCTTCCCCGGAGGTAAAGGTAACAACTGCAGCCGCCGCACCTGCTGCTCCTCCTCCTCCTCCTCCTCCTCCTCCTGCCGTATTGAACCTCTGCGGCCGCTCGGTTCCCCCTGCAGGAGGCGATATAGGGCCCGCCCCCGACACCGGGTCGCTTGGCCCGTCTCCAGCCGCGAGAGTTTCCAGCCAGGCCCACGAATCTTTGGGGCGAGTGCCAACGAGAAGGAAGGAGACGGCTTGGCTTGGCTAAGCAGCGTCTGGGCAGAAAATAGGTCGGGCGCCGCAGCAAGCATGAACTCCTTGGGTTCATCCGGAGCACGCAAAGCTGCAGAGGGGCTTGGGGGTGGGTTTTCCGGCTTTGGAATAACCTCGTGAAGCCGAGGCATTGGAAGTTGGAAGTCCTTGTTTGTCGCCTTAACGTGTCGGGTCAACCCACGCCACGTGCTAAGCCACAAACCGTGGTTGGTCTCCAGGGTTTAGGCCAAGCGGTAGAAAACTAGCCAATTGTGGAATAATACATCCCGAGGAAGCCCATCGTTGCTCCATGTGATGTATGCACTCAGTCAATCCAAGCCTATTCACATCTGTTGTAAGGTCATTCTCTCGTGGGATTTATCTTGACGTCCACTAAGAGTGGAACAAACACGCCCCATTAACCATTTTCAATGCCACGTCCTCTCTTTGTCTCACCCTAAGTCACAGCTGAGGCACCTTAAAGTTGCCTTGTTTCAGTTTTAAACTAGCATTTCCCCTCTTCTGCAGAGACCCTTTTTGCTGTGAACCTAACCCAGGGGTAGGCAACCTTGGCTCTTTTATGACTCATGGACTTCAACTCCCAGAATTCCTGAGTCATAAAAGAGCCAAGGTTGCCTACCCCTGACCTAATCCTATCTAATAGGGTTGATGATGTGGCCAATGTGGGGATCCCCTATTGGCCACACCAGGCTACTGCAGGCACAGCCTCTCCCCTCCAAGCTAGATTTTGCCCTTCTTGGCTGTTTGAGCTACAAGCTAGACAAGTTACCTGGTTCTGTAGAAGCCTCTTTGCATAATGCTTTACCCCAGCACCTTGCTGAGCACTTGCCAGACCTCATAGGACAGTGTTTCTCAACCTTGACAATTTTAAGGCATGTGGACTTCAACTCCCAGAATTCCACAGCCAGCAATGCTGGCTGTGGAATTCTGGGAGTTGAAGTCCACATGCCTTAAAATTGTCAAGGTTGAGAAACACTGTCATAGGAGGTCCTTGCACACTAAGGTTTAAAGGTCTTTTGAGTGCTTGGCCCATGTTTAAAACAAAACAAACAAAAAACACCAGCATTTTCTTTCGTTGCATTGATTCCACTAGGACAGGGGTAGGCAACCTTGGCTCTTTTATGACTCGTGGACTTCAACTCCCAGAATTCCTGAGCCAGCCATGCTGAGGGGAAAGGGAGAGGTTTCCATGCTGAGCCATGCTGGCTCAGGAATTCTGGGAGTTGAAGTCCACGAGTCATAAAAGAGCCAAGGTTGCCTACCCCTGTCCTAGGGTAAAAACTCCTAGGTTCTTCCAGCCGCATGTTGTTGGTTTTGCCGCCAGAATACATTTTCTATTTATTCTGCTGACAAGGGGCTTTTTGGGATTTTTGTTTGGAGGAGGGTGGTACTATTTTACTCACTTCACATGCTACTTCCAATTACAGCCAGCCACAGCTGCTCGGGGAGAATCCTTAACTTGTCCTGCCTTAATAAAACAATTAGGGTAAAACCACTCTTTCTACTTCCTTACTGAAGTAGAAGCAAAATAGGGAAGTGAAGCATTGCAAAATATTCTGCTTTGCTGGATAGGTGAAAGGACTTTTAACATTGTATGTTCCTCCCCCTCCAGTTCAATGGAAGATTAAATAAGTAGAATCCTTTGATTTACAAGGATTTGCATATCAGCATGACACTAGGGTTTAATATAAGTGAATCCAGAGAGGGACTATGCAAGGTGGATGATATCTAATGAGGCTGTTCGTATTGCAGAGATAATATGTTCTCCCTTGATGAAGCTTGGAATGAGAACCTTTACTTTTTCCGTGCTCTCTATGCTTAATGTCATGGCCCTCCAGTTTACAAGTAGAAGCCATGTTGTTTCATGAAGCTGCTTCAAAGGGGTATTTTGCATGAAACTCCATAGAAAGCATGTCTTCAAAAAATTGTGCAGCCTTACTTAAAATCTCACTGATACTTTTTGGTGGGACTAACGCTTAGGAAAATGTGCAGAAAGCTCTTAATATAGTGCAATTCTCTATGTACTTACTGAAAAGAAGATATTTAATTCTCATTACATTAAGCCAGAATGTTTAAACTATGGTTTGTTGGATCAGTCACAATGCACATAGTACCTAAAATACTTCAAGAGGCATATTGGCACTATCCAGTAGCACTCCTAAACCAAACCAGACAACCTCATTTAAAATTGTGTGTGAAGCCAGCCTCTTGATAGTTTACGCATGCATTTACAAGGAGAGTCCATCATTGTTGCCTGTTTATGCAGCTATTAGTTTTATTGGTGGATTTTATTGGAGAAATTGCGTAGGGTGTCACAAAAATGAAAGGCTAAGTGTTCTGGGAATTAGAGCTGAAGAAAATAGCAAAGGAGAGAGTTGAGACAAATCAGGAGATAGTAAACACTATCTTTTAAAGAGATGATAGATTAAGTTATTTTTTTTTCAGAATCTAGCTATCTTGTATAGTTCATAGATATGGCACCAATGATTAAAAAAACTAATTCTTATTAAGACCATATGATTTCTTACAGTATTAGATGTTTATGCTGAATGTCTTAATTTAGACCTGTCTCTTTGTAACACTTTATATATATGTGTCCGGATAAGTAGTACCTACATGCTATTTTTTGCACAAAATAATGGAGAGAGGGATGCCTATTCGAGCACAGGCATGGTTAAAAGAAACCAATTATCTAGATCTATTTTAGATTAGTTTTTGGTCTGGAAATTACACAGAAGTAGTTTTAGTTGCCCTGAATGCGACTGATGAACTTTAGTGGCATGAACACAGGGGAATGCTACGGGGTTGGTTCTTCTGGATGTTTCAGCTGGCTTTAATCATCAGCTATTGATCATGAAATACTGCTGGAGAAGCTTAGTTGGATTGGGAATTGGAGGCATATATGACACTGGTTCTTTTTATACTCTCAGCACTTTATCAGAGTCACAAAGGGAGATTCCTGTTCATCTCCATGCTGCTTAAGTTGTAGAGTCTCAGCAAACTTTTAGATTCAGAAAGAGAAATAGGCCTTGTCCCTGTCTCTGGAAAGAATCGGGGTCCAGTTTCCTGGCTCCTCTTGATTAAGGTGACCAACTTTTTTACAATGAAAAGGAGGACACAAATAAATTGAAGAAAAAAATATCGTAAATAAAAGAAACATTTTATTCATTGCAACAATAATACAGAATACACTATAATATGATAAATGCATAATAAAAAACATTTGTAACAATAACATTTTATATTATAATTATGCTTACACGCCTATTAATTATTATTTAAATGAGTACTTTTCCATTGAATGAATATTTTTTGTCAATGTATATTTTTTGTCTAACAATATATTGGAAATATCTGAACAAGAAATATCCTTCATATTGAATTTTACGGCAAGTGTTGCAGCTAGAGTATCAACATTATTGCCCTAGCAGGGCCGAAGATCAAGAGAAACTTACCGTGGCGTCACCGCTCCAGTCTCCTCCAGGTATCTTTGGGACTAACTAGGAGATGGTGTAGTTGGGTAGCAGGGAGGGGTGCAAAGTTCCTGCCAATTCGCCTTCGCTGCAGACAACTTGCATGTGCAAAGTTTGCCGGCCAGGTGTTTTGGCGCGTTCAGCAGCAATTCCTATTGGCTTTCGAAAGCCAATAGCGGGAGTAGCACAGCTCATGCAAAAGTTGAAAAAAAAACCATCAAAAAAGGGTGCAAGAACGCCGTTCTGAGTGTTCTATGAGAAAAAAAGCCCTGCAAATTAGTCTTCAAATATCGAAAAGGAGGACATGTAGGAGGACACTTTTCGAGGGAGGACAGAACTTACAAAAGGAGGACTGTCCTCCCTAAAGGAGAACGGTTGGTCACCTTACTCTTGATTCTAAGTAGCTTCAATAGCTAAATAAGCCTATCTTCAACTGTGGTGGTGTGCTAGCTTTGGTGATCCATGATTTAAAACCCCCTCAATTGGATTACAGCAATCACGGTAATGGAGCTACCCTTGCAGAGTGTCTGGAAATTTCAACTGATACAGAATCCAACTACAGATTCTTAATTGGGACAGGCAAATCAGATCAACCGGCACAGACATGAAATCACTGAGTTGTAAATCTGTCAGTTACCAATCCCAAATTAGGGTGTCAACATTAATCTGTAAAGTCCTAAATCATGTATGTAAAAGATCCCGGCCCAACACTAACCTGTATTTTAATGTCAGCTGCAAAGATGCTGCTTTTATAAAGAGTCAATAGGGTACAATGGTTCAGGTGATGGGTACCCTCAGCCATGGAAGCCCACTGGATGACTTGGTTTACTCACTTTCTCTCATCTTAATCTACCTCACAGAACCATTGTTGTGGGGGGAAAGGAAAGAAAGAAACACTACATAGGCCACCTTGAGCTCGCGAATGAAAGGCAGGATATACTTTAATAAATATATAAATATATGGTCCACCAATGAGCTCAGCTCACAACGCAGGGACCAGGATTTGGATCTTCTCAGTGGCAGCACTCCAGTTATGGAACTTTATCCCAAAGAAATTACAACTACTTTCTCTTGTTTTAAAAGACAAAGGTAAGAAAGCAAAGGCGTTTTAAATGGGAGCCAGTTAGGATTATAAATTATCCTGGACTAGATGGCAATTTTGGACAGCTTTTTAAACCAGATTCCTTAAAATTGCTATATTTTATTACCTTTTATGATTGGAGAATTTCTCGTTTTTAATTGTTCTTGTGGACACCACTTCCTTTTATTGTAGGAGAAGGATTAATACGAAATAATCCCATCTAGAGAAGGAAAATAATAAGTGGACATTTGCTTATTTGCATCTATTTATATAGGTATAAATTAATTCCCTTGTGCAATAACTCTTTGCCTAGAAACAAAATCCACTGGGCCCACTTGCAACTCTTAGGGCAATTCATTTCTAAGGAAATGAATGAGATTGTATTGTACGCTTACCGTTGTACCACAATCTAATTGATCCCTTACTCATTCAATTCACTGGAGGCTTCTCCAAAAGAGGTTGGCAGAAGATTTCTGCTAAAGTTTGCTTTTGAAAGCCATACTAGCAGTTGCGCTGCTAATTCCTAAACCAGTTAAACCTGCCCTTTTAAAGCTCATAACTGATTTCCTGATGGGTCACAGACCTGACTCGATGCCGTGTTAAGAATGGCTGCTCTTGACCACGTCTCTTCTGTTGAAATAGGAAGTCAGACCTTCTTAAAAAGATGTATTGCTCAATGCCTTATGTAAATTGAAGTGATCATTTTTATGAATACATCATCAAACAAACCACGGTTTAAGGCAACAGGTAAGGGTAATTTTGCTTTTAACAATTTATCTAGAGATCTGAATGGAGTGGTAAGAGAAGGCTGCATATTATACAAATGAGTCACGTTCCTTTGTCTAAGGTTTATGCTAGCATAAGAGCAACGAAATGTACTTGAATAGATATTTACCCATAACTTTTAATTCTATAACAGTAGATGAGGCTGGCTTGGAGTTAGTAAACAGATTTCAGATTTATTAGTGGGTGGATGTAGTTTCTCCTTTCCACACCCTGCCATAGCAACAAAAAAAAAGCAAACAAGGTACTCTTTATATCTTACCTTCAAACAGATATGCATAATATTGCAGACAAATGGTGGAAAATCCATTGTGTGCCTAGTTAGATCTATAACCAGTGTTGTGAGCCATACTTCCTATTTTTCAGTGTATGCACGTGTAGTGATCTTGATATAATTGGCTTGAATGTCTAATAATTTTTATGGAGTTATTTCTAAAGCTGAAATAATAAAGAGAACAAAGCAAGGAGAGAACATATCAAGGGCAATAGAAGTAGACAGGGCATATTTGGTAGGCACAGATTATTAATTAAAACAGAAAAGGAAAAGCTGGAGAACGGAGTGACTTTCCTGGAGAAAATGGAACACTGAGCAGGAACAGAGTTATGAAGAGGGAGATTCCTTACAAGTAATCCTCGACTTATAACAGTTCGTTCAGTGATGGTTTGAAGTTACAATGGCACTGAAAAAAAGTGACTTATGACTGTTTTTCATACTTATGACCAGTAGTGGGATTCAGCCAGTTGGCACCACTTCGGCAGAACCGGTAGCTGATTTTTTGTTGCCCAGGCCCAGAATGGACTTCTGGAAGCGGCATCCACACAGAGAACCGGTTGTTCACATATTTGAATCCCACCACTGCTTATGACCATGGCAGCATCCCCATAGTCACATGATCAAAATTCAAATTAAATTCAACTGACTCATATTTATAACGGTTGCAGTATTCCGGAGTCCTGTGATCACCTTTTTGTGACCTTCTGTTCCGTCCCAGCCTACGTGAGTCCTTGTTATGCTCACAAGGAGAAACCCCTCTTCCAAGAAACAGGCAGGAAGCGCAAGAAAAAACTGACCCCTTTTATTCTCACAGACCTGAGTCAAATATCCAAGACAAACAAACACAGTTCACAAAAACTCGACCCTCAACACAAATGGTTGCCTTTGGCAACCAGCACCTCCCACACCTTCCCTTTTATAATTCAGCCAAGGCATGGCTTCCTAATGCCTTCTCCTTTGCAGCTGCCCCATTGCATTCCTCTGTCCTACTCGCTTCTCTTGCCTGCACTTTCGTGCATCCTGGATTTGTCCCAACTGTTCTTCATCACTGTCCAACTCAGGCTCCCAGCACAGCTGTGTTTCAGCCTGAGCACGAGTAGAGGGGCCAGGCTCCTTGTCCGACTGTAAGTCTTGGAGCTCCTCAGAGCCTTCCTCTGAGTCTAATGTCACTCCAGGCCCCTCCTCCTCATCTGATTCCTCAGACTCAGCTGTCGGATCCACTGGCTGGCGAGCAATCACAATACCTTCTGCCAAGCAAAGACAGTGGGGAAGCCAGATGCACTTAACAACCATGTTAGTAACTTAACAACTGCAATGATTCACTTAACAACTATGGCAAGAAAAAGTTGTTAAATGGGCCAAGACTCAACAACAACAACTGTCTTGCTTAGCAGCAGAAAGTTTGGGCTTAATTGTGGTTGTAAATCAAGGGCCAACTGTACTTGTTCCAGATTAGGGATTATTTAAAAAAATGTATTTTTATTTTCTTGACACATTTAGGAACTATTTTAAAATCTCTGCATTATTTTACACTTTCTATTTTCCTTCCTGGCAGCATTGTGTCTCTTAGTTGTCATTATCCTGGGATACCATCTTGGCTTTATTGTTGTCCTTATGTTCTTAATTTATACACTACCCAGAAAAAATTACTTATTGGTGATTTAAAACGTACTAAATGTAATTAAAGGAATAAAAATGGAGCCAATATTCACTCTTTTAATTTTTCTTCTCTAGAGAAGCAATGTAATTTCAGTGTAAAATTTGCTGAAAGTAAAATTATTTTAATCATTTTTCACTCAAACCGTAAGAATTATCATTTCGTTCTCTGTGATAAAAGTGCAATTAATACAACGTCAGGGTTGAGAAATCATTAAAAAAAAATTTGAAAACCAATGCTAAAAGTTCGACCATCATCTCGTTCTTAATACATTAAAATGTAATTTCCTATTATTATAAATAAATAAATATAATTGTAAACTATTATATAATACCTGCATGAACTTGGTCGATGGAACGGAATGTCTCGCCAACCTGACAGTTTAAATCAAAATTATGGGAAAATTGGTATGAGGAAGGGCAAGATTCTCTAAGGTTGTTTCCAAGATTGGTGAGCTAAGATGCTCTGGTCCCATTCTTCTAGCAGAAAATCAAATTATAAAATGTAAGAGTTGGAAGGAAACTCGGAAATAACCTAGTCCAATTGCTTGCTCGGTGTAGGGATCCACTATTCTACCCACTGCCAAAGCAGTTTGTTCCCTTGTGGAGCAGCTCTTACCATTTAGAAAGTCTTCCTAATGTCCAATCAATATTTGCTCCTTTTTGCACTTTAAACCCATTGTTTCTGGTCCTTTCTTCTGGAACAATTTGACCATTATCTACATCTCAGCCTTCCAGATGCCCCCCTTACAGGACCCTTATTAGATTGGTTTGTGTCCTCTTTGTGCTCCACTTCTTCAATATCCTTCTTAAAATATAGTGCCCAGAACTGAATGGAATATTGTCTGAATCATGTTCACAATGTTCTGGTATTTCTGAACAGAATGTCAGAGGAACAATTGCTTCTTTTGATCTGGATGCTCTAATTCTATGGATGCAACCTAGGATTGCATTTTTTTTTTTGCAGCTGTATCACAAGTACAATTACGGATAAGTTGCAAGAAAATACTTTGCTTTCTAGAACAAGGGCTACTTAGTAGTAATGAGTTTCTTTTTAAATAATCGTGCTGAGCAAATTCAGTCATAGCTGTTTGGAAACCATTATTTATGGTTTGTAAATCAAGCCACTAGGGCAGTGGTTCTCAACCTGTGGGTCGGGACCCCATTTGGGGTCGATCGACCATTTCATGGGGGTCGCCAAGCAAGGTTGTCCGCCATTTTTTTTGTCCGCCATTTTTTGTCCGCCATTTTTTTCCCCTTTTCCGGCGGGTGCCTTACCTGCCTTGGGCTGGGCCAGCTGGTGGTCGGCCTGCTCCGTCTCTGCCGCTTGCCAGCTACGCCCCAGCCGGCGCAGGGGGCGGAACCACGCATGCGTGGCGCTCCCGGGCAGGGAAAGTCCTCGACTTACGACCGGTTGGGTAGTCCTCAACTTACGACCGGTTTAGTCCTCGACTTACGACCGGTTTAGTCCTCGACTTACGACCGGTTTAGTCCTCGACTTACGACCGGTTGGAGTCACGGCATTAAAAAGGTTGAGAACCACTGCACTAGGGCTTGTGCCACAAAGTGTGTATTTCACTTATTCTATGAACCAGACTATCTGAGAACCAGGATTATATTAATCAGAGTTGATGAAACAATAACCTTTAATGCTACTTAAACCCAATTTTTATTAACAAGGAACACCAGATCTGCATTGTTCATCTACTCGTTATTCAATTTTTTCAGCCCAGCCTTGGAAGCTTACAACAATTCTGGTCAGCACGGTATGTACAATGAAAGATGTTCAAAGTTTTAATTGCAAATGCTTGGAGGTCTACCGGTCTGCTCTACTGATGAAGATGTTTACCATTCCAACAGACAGAGAAGCAACCTGGACTTTCTGGAGAAACACCCATCACTTTTCACTGACTTCCATGGGTGACATGATAGCAGTCTTCCAATATTTGAGGGGCTGTCACGAAAAAGAAGGGATCAATCTATTCTCCAGAGAACCTGAGGGCAGAACAAGAAGCAATCTGTGGGAAGGAGAAAACCAACCTAGAACTAAGGAGAAATTTCCTGACAGAACAATCAACCAGTGGAACGGTTTGCCTTCAGGAGTTGTAGGTGCTCCATCCCTGGCAGTTTGTAAGAAGAGATTATGCAGTCACGAGACCGAAACATTAAAGATGTCATGCTTGAGCAGGGGGTTGGGTTAGAAGACTTCCAACTCTGTTCTACTGACACAAGCTGACATTATTTGAAAGCCATTTTGTCAGATGAAGATAGTCATGTCTGCCATCACTCGCTTGTTTGGGGACCTTTTATTAAGACATTGCAATGTATAAAAAAATGTAAAGGTGGAAAGCTACAGAAAACATTTAAAGTGCATTGATTCTGCAAACATAAATCTATTTCTACTTTTTTCTTGTCTTTGCCCATCATCCCTATGGTTATACTGATTTCCGGTATACGGATAATTCTCAACCTACGACCACAAATGGCTCTAGAATTTCTGTTGCTAAGCAGGGCAGTTGTCAAGCACCCAACTTTGCGGTCTTTTTTGTTATGGTTGTTAAGCAAATCGCACAGTTTGTTAAGCAAACCTGGTTTCCCCCATTGCTGGCAATCACATGACCCCAGGACACTGCAGCTGTCATGAATACATGCTAGTTGCTAAGCGCCTGAATTTTGATCACATGATTGTGAAGAGCCTGCAATTGTTATGAGTGCAAGGACCCGTAATAAGTCACTTTTTTTTTCAGTGCTGTTGCAAGATTGAAGGGTTGCTAAACAAATCATTGTAAGCTGAGGACTGCCTGTATAAATGATTTCCCTTTCAGACAGTCTGAAAAGGAGGGAACCCGGTTGGTTGTTTACACAGGTGAATGTGATTCAGCAGTTGGTGTCTAAATAATGAGCAGAGTCATCAATTGAAAAGCTGCAATCTTGCCCCCAGCTAGGTTGCGTACACTCTAATAAAGTCACAAAGGTTTAAGCAGCTGAATTGTCTTCTTTTTTTTTTAGAGTACAGTAGAGTTAATGACTCAAA